ACACAACTTTACTTTGGGCAAAAATCTCCATCAAGGCTGCCGCTGTGGACACTGCCTGGTCAGCATTACAAACCCCAAGACCATGCATTGTCCTGTCCCCAGTTCCCCGGATGGATTAGTGCCTGAGTAAGACGCCAACACCATTTACCTCTAGTAAATTGCATCTGAGAATTCATGTGTACTGTAAAAAAAAAAAAAAAAAAAAGCCTTTTAAGCCCACAGAACTCAGACCTACATGTAGATGCTACACCATTCTTGAAATTAATATTCTGTCTACCCAATTGGAGTGGATAGGGAATGATAAATCTCAGCTAATACAATTTGAGGGGACAAAAGTGAAATGTGACAGTGCCCCCCACCCAACACATTCAGATTATCATTCCAGTACTTGTAATTACAGGACTCTAAACAATTAGCCTTATTAGTTCCCACTACAGCATCCCAAAAAGACAGTTTGTTCAGCCTCGGGCTTACGTGTTTCTGATAACTGAGAGGGAGTTGGCAGGGAGGTCATTTGGTTCAGCTTCAGAATCCGCAAAAGGTCTCAAAGGTTGTGGGCTCCAAATGAAGTCATGCACATGGCCACTGAAACACATGACATGGCTGGAAGAACAAGATGTTCAACCACAGATTTAAATCTGGATCCATCCATGTATCTCCACGCCTATAGAGGCACTATGATTTGATGTTCATTTTAAATTCTAAAATTGTCAAGTCTTGTAAACAGCACAGTTAGACTGCTTTGTATTTGTGTGTTGATCATACTGATTTAGTATATGTAAACATTTATAAATTGCCACCATTTCCCCCTATTTTCACCTTTCTTTATTTAAAAACACACACACACACCAAGAATCTCAAAAGACCCTGGAAGCATCCAATGCATTGCTCAGTCCCTGAGTCCCTACCTCCCATCTCTGGAAAAAGCTAGTTCCTTCATCAGTGTGCTGGGTGTCAGAAAGCTCCTCTCAATAAGGAACTGAAATCACCTCCCTGATAGTTTCACCACAGTCTTGAGTTAGATCTCCAGGGCTGCCTGGAACAGGTGTGCACCTTCTGGCCCCCGAGTGCGTTTCAGAGACCCTGCCCTCACCTCCTTCCCCCGGTTGTCAGACAGGCAGGCAAAGCCCCAGGAAGAGTCCAGTCTTGGCATCACTAGAAGCACCTCTGAGCTGTCACATAAATGTGCTTGACCTGTCTCAAGGGTCTAGCTAAGCACAGGATAGGATACCTATCCTCCAAGGAAGGGCGCAGCCTTTTCCTCTTGAGTAGAAAGTTCCAGGCTTCTTTGGAATCAAGCCTGAGCCTAAGTTTCCCCCCTTGTTCTCACCCTCCCAGGACTCAGCTCCATCTTCAGTGGATCACTTGTAGGAGGGGCCTCCCAAGCCTGAGATACATTTATGAAAAGTACAAGGGGCAGGCACTAATATCTAGGGAGAAGCTGCCAGTGTACTGCTCAAGACCAGCAGGGCAAAGCTAAGGTGTCTGCCTGGTCAGGCCACTAAGGCACAGGCAAAGGGGGGTGGGGGTGGGGGTGGGGATGAAGTTCGGATAGAGCACAGAGCCACTGCTAGCTCTTAAAGTGCCTTGGTGTGCATTTGAAAAGGGCGCCCTCTCTGGGCAGATGCAACCATGGGTCAAGGTGCATGGCTTGGCAGGTGGTGAAGGGGAGCTAGATATTTGCCCCCACTTGTCCCCTCTGCCAGGTGCCCCTGTGTAATGAACCACTGGAACAACTGCAAATGTTTGTCCTGCTCAGAGAGAGCAGCAGGAGGAAGAAGAGACAGACAGTAAGAAGAAAGGTCATCGTGGCCATTCAAGGCCCCCAACAATTGCCCCCGAGTCTCTTCCCCCGGGCCTCCACAGAAGCTTTATCCAGAATAGCCCCCACACTGTCTCCACAGGCACTCCCACCCTTCTCTGATTGTCTATTCACATTCCATCCATTCTTTTCAAGTATCCTTCTGCCAGGAAGCCTTCCCTGACCACTGCCCTGTTCCGTTTGAAGGATGCAGATGCTCTTCACATCTGCTCCCTTAGTGGGCCCTAGCACTTCTTTGGGCCAGTGGCTGGTCACTTTTCTGTGGCCATATCTCCCCTCCTCCAAGCCTATGGGTCCTCAGGCACAGGGCAGCAGGCAGTCAGTATGTATTTGCCGATGGATTGTGATGGAAGAACATGGTATAGGGGCTTAAAGGACTCCTGAGACTGGCACTAGTTTGACCACCAGTGATCCCTGGGGTAACCTGGAGAAAGGGCCTCTCCATCTTCAGTCTCAGTTTCCCATGTATGAGGTACAGTGGTTAGATGAATAATCTCCAAGGATTCTGCCAGCACTGAATTCTAGGCTTATAAGACACAGCACCTATCACCCTCATCAGCCAGGTTTTCATCCCTGTCACCCCAGGGTCTACCACAATGCCTGGTCTAGACTCAATATGGTGTATGGGTTGCCTAAAAAAAAAAGAAAGAAAAACCAAGAAGCATTAGTTTCTATGCTCACAGACACCAAACCTGGCCAACTCAAGCAAGAAAGATCTACTAGGAAAAGGCAGGCAGAGAAAGCAGACAGTGGAGGGGAGAGTGATCAGAACCACAGCTGAAGGCAGGCCCTGGGAAGAGTTTGATAAGGACATTCACTGGCCCACGGCCACCTCTTCTACCACTGGCCATTGGCCTTCTGGGTTACCACCATGACACAAGGGAACTCTGAACTGTCACCAGCTCAGAGCCTAAACTCCAAGTGGGGCACCGGATTGGCTGCACTTAAGTCACATTGACACACCTTAATTGCCAAAATTGGGGTTGGGGGGGCACTCATACATTTGAATTCCTCAATAGGAAGGTTGTTCAGGTACTGGTAGCCAAGAAACTGACAAATGTCCACTCCAATGACCCTGTTCCCTGGCTAAACAGATTCTCTCCTCCAGGGATTTAGAAAAGGGCCCAAAGATGTCATCAAGTCAAGGCTGGTGGGAGTGCTTTGGGGTCACAGAGAAGCTGAAGCAGGGAGAGAACAAGGCAAAAAGCAGAGGGAGGACTCCTGGACTCCTGCTGACTCGCACAAGTCTCAGCAGCTCTTGAGTTCCTTGAGATGCCCCAGAATCCCCTTCTTGATTAACCTGGTTAGGGCTTCTTTCTGTGACTTCTAAGAAACAGAAAGCCCTTATATGACCTGTCCTACCTTCCTCCAGGTTGGCGGTACATGTGGGATACAAAGCCCCTGGATGGCTAGGCAGAGCCCTCTGAGCCAGAAGGCAAATACCGGTTAGTCAGCCAAGGTGGGCACTGTCTCCCCTTTTTGTACAGCACCCCTCCAGAAGGAGACAGATGCCTCAGCTGGAGTCTTCTCAGAGCAGCGAGCCAAGCAGCAGGCCTGAAGCCACCACTCGGATACCATGGGGAGGCCGCCGGACCTTTACTGAAAGGTGTTCGCTTTGTTTTTAACACCCCCATAATCTGGTGCTGTTCCTTACTGACTATTTTCCCCTAAAGACAAAACTGGGGGATGTCGAGGCCTTTATTGCTCCAGAGTGAGAGTTGGTGACTAGAGAGAAACGACTCCTGACGTGCAGAATAAAGACCTTCTGCTAGCCTCCAAACTCAAAAACTAAACCCATTGCCGTTGAGTCGATTCCGACTCATAACGACCCTTACAGCATAGGCGAGTTTATATTACTAAAGCAGAAAGTGTTTGCCTCCCTCTGCGGTCCCACACTCTCCGGTGCCCTGGCTTATTCGCAGTTCCGGTGGGCGGCAGAGGCTGCAAGCACCGCTCGCAGAGACACAGCGCAAAGACCGAGTTGAGTGTTCTCAGAGGGTTCTCCACGCTCCCTGAGGAGAGGGTATTCGCAGGCTGCGGTTATTTTGTCTTCCCGCAGCGCTTCAGTGGAGGTGGCGGTCAATACCCAACCCAACCTAGGAAATCACCCGACCCTTTATTTTTCTCAACCATCCTCCCAGGTGAAAGTCAGCTGATTCATTCCCCAGTTTTTTCACCAACCCCGAAGGAGAAGAGACGCCTATCCTTGTCCTCTGCTCTGTGGCCCTCGCCCGGCTTCTCTTCGGTCTATTTGAATACGGGTTTTCCTGGGTTCCGATAGCGCTGCATTTCACAACCATTTATCCGGCGCTCGGGTGGTTACAAAAGCGCCATGGCAAGTGCTCCACGAGCGTCATCTCATATATTCAACAGGGTAGATTTGTGTCCCACTTTACAGACGGGGAAACTGAGATTCAGAGAGGTTAAATAGCTGGCCCAAAGTCACGCGTCCACCTAGAGCTGGAGAAGGGATGCGAACCCAGGCTCCTGGCCAGCTTGAGGTTTCTGCAACTCTCTTCGCGGCTCACACTCGCCTGCCAGTGCCCCGCCTTCCCATACCCACCCCAGCAAGGGGCGCCCGACCCGCCCCCGGAGGAGCGTGCCTCAGCCGCTAATCGCCCGCCGCCCCCGCCTCCGTTTCACTGCCCGGAGACGCCCGGGCCGGCTAAGCCCAGAGACGACTCCCGGGGCCCCGCGGCGCCGCGGATTGGCCGGCGGTAATTACGGGCACGCTCCGGGAGGGGGGAGGGGCGAGGGCGGCCCCCCCGCAAGCATAAATTATGCAAATACTAAGAAGCCGCACGGGGCTGACCTGCCGCCTTGTTCCATTCAAGGGGGCTGCCGCGGGGGCGGAGGTGGCAAGGGAGGGGGGCGCCCATTGTTGCACCGGGTACTTAAGGGGTCCTGAGGCCAGTCGTGTGCCACACTCGGTGCTCACACGAGCTGATCTGATCGCCGGCAAGATCACTTGGGAGACTGGCCGGGCGCGTGGCCTCTGCAGGCGAGGCGAGGAAGCGAGGCCAAGTTCCCTGTGCGCCCTTGCGCCCTTCCAGGCTTTTGCGCCTGCAGCAGGCACACATTAGCCAGGGGCCGTTCGGAACGTAAGTGCGCACCGCCGGCCCTGCCCTCCTGCTCCTCCTATCTGTCCGTGCTTTCGTCGGTCCCGCAGAGCGCAACGATGCCCGCCTCTCTGGAGACCTGCCTCTCCGACCTCGACTGCTCCACCACCAGCAGCAGCAGCAACAGCGACCTGTCCGGCTTCCTCACCGACGAGGAGGACTGTGCCAGGCTCCAACCCCCAGACTCTGCCTCAGGGCCGCCTGCGCCGCCCCGCAGAGGCGCGCCTGGGATATCCGGGGCGCCCGATGCTCCGGGGGCGCAAGACGACGAGCAGGAGCGGCGGCGGCGCCGGGGCCGGGCGCGGGTGCGCTCCGAGGCGCTGCTGCACTCGCTGCGCAGGAGCCGGCGCGTCAAGGCCAATGATCGCGAGCGCAACCGCATGCACAACTTGAATGCGGCGCTGGACGCGCTGCGCAGCGTGCTGCCCTCCTTCCCCGACGACACCAAGCTCACCAAGATCGAGACGCTGCGCTTCGCCTACAACTACATCTGGGCCCTGGCGGAGACACTGCGCCTGGCCGACCAGGGCCTGCCCGGAGGCGGTGCCCGGGAGCGCCTCCTGCCGCCGCAGAGCGCCCCCTGCCTGCCAGGGCCTCCGAGCCCCATCAGCGACGCCGAGTCCTGGGGCTCCGGCGCCGCTGCCTCCCCCTGCGCCGCCGCCACCTCGCCACTCTCCGACCCCAGTAGCCCCGCCGCTTCTGAAGACTTCGCCTATGGCCCGGGCGATCCCCTTTTCCCCTTCCCCGGCCTGTCCAAAGACTTGCTCCACACGACGCCCTGTTTCATTCCCTACCACTAGGCCCTTTGTGGACACCTTTACTTTCCCCTTCCTCGTCAACAGTTGTAATTGGGACCCCAGCTGCGGCCTCGGGATCCCCACTCCAGGAGGAGGGAGGAGGCGGGAGCTTTAAAGGGGTGGAGGATACCTGAGCCGCTGGTTAGGTCGCTGCACCCTCGCCGCCGCTGCCCCTTGGTCTGTTTCTCCAGCCCTCAGCCCTGGGCCCCTCCCGCCCGCCCCTAGACGGCCTTTCCTTTTGCACTTTCTGAACTCCACAAAACCTCCTTTGTGACTGGCTCAGAGCTGACCCCAGCCACCACTTCAGTGTGATTTAGAAAAGGGACAGATCAGCCCCTGAAGACGAGGTGAAAAGTCAATTTTACAATTTGTAGAACTCTAATGAAGAAAAACGAGCATGAAAATTCGGTTTGAGCCGGCTGACAATACAATGAAAAGGCTTAAAAAGGAGAGACAAGGAGTGGGCTTCATGCATTATGGATTCCAGGCCCCACCACTGCAGGCTCGCTCTAGGAAGAGCCCTAGACTGTTGCATAGCTATTCACGCCCAGGGCTGGAGAGTACTTTAATTTATTCAAGATGCTTCATTCATATGAAAATGTATTTTTGTACATAAAGAGTTTATTCTATTATTATGAGCTATCAAAGTTTACATTTCTGTACTGCAGATACTTCATGTAAATAAAAACTAAGAAAAAAAAACTCACCAAGTTTCTTGCCTAATGTCAATGACTCTGGGCCTTTTCTCCCCCCACCCCAAACTCAACCACTAAAGTGAAACACTATCCCCAACCCACCAAACCCTCCAGTCCTGTTTCAAAAACAATTGAAAAATAAAACTCACCTGATTTCCACCAAGAAACGGATAAAGGCAGCCCAGGGCATTTGGGATCCATCATTTCCTTTCACCTTGTAAACACAAGGAAGATCTTTCAAGCTCCCCATAAGCCAATTAAGACTTTTCCTGGGGAATTAGCCCAGGATACACAGCTACCTGTAGAGGTAGGGGCGGTGGGAGAGTCTTTCTTTTAAGGAACGCCACATCAGCTGGCTCCGTGTTACAAAGAGAGGGGATTAAAAAGATCAATACAGTGTGACCACTGGCTAGGAAGTCCCAGTGACAGGTGGTCCCAGGCTGGCCAAGCAGAAGGGTCCACTCTTACAACAGCCTATTTAGGGGAGGGGGAAATTGATTTGTAAACAATGCCTCCAAACTGTGGTCCGTTGAGGCTGGCTTCACCCTGGCTGTGAGGCTCAGGTATAAATTACACTGGCGTGGTGTCCCTGGGCGGGTATGCAGCTGCCTAAAATTGTGAGCTAGGGTGCCTGTACTCCCCCACACACTTACACCCACTAGGGCCCACAGTCTGGGTGGGGGGCACATGCTGAGAACCCCGGTGCCTAGCTTGCTCAGCTAATCCTCAGGGGGCAATCGCCAAAGCTTTCATTTGCTGCCAGAGAAATCAGCCATCCAAACTCGTTGGAATTTTTCTGATTGCAGTGTGTTTATCTGTTGTCTGACAATTAGCTAACAACACTGGCCGGTAGCGGACTTTGTTTTAAATTTCAGAAGGTGGATCATTACAAGCAACAGTTCCTAAAATACTGTTACTGCCTACTTACAAGTTACTCCACATTGTGACCATTTTTTTTTTCTCACTGAGCTGTCCCTTTTCATGCATATAATTATTTAGCTGTGGGGGTGGGGAGTAGTAGGAATAGGTTCAGGAAAATAGTATTCGTTAGTGTTAGAGAGATTATATCCATTTAGGAGGTGAATAGAAGCAGAGGACCAGAAGCAAGGCCACTGATAGCATGCTCCCCTTGTGGAAGCATTTTCCTCCTCACGCACAGCAGCCTGATGAGTTGGATGCACATATTCATATACTGGGTCCCCAACAGGCAATGCTAAGTCTAGCCTTGGGCAAGGAGCCCTTTAGATAAAAAGGATCCTTTGCAGAAGGTTCCAGAAAGTTGGAGGTCTCTCTCACTGTCCCCAGAAAAGAAACAAAAAGTCCTCACAAAAAAAAGCTTCCAAAGCTTTGAGGGCTCAACGGAACAGCTTCTGCTAAAAGCTTCCAGAAAAAAGTTGTATTCTAGAACGACCCCGCCCTGCCTCAACCTCCTTGCCCCCTCCCCGCCATTGTGTGCCACAGAATTAATCTGCTCTACTAGGTTTGAGTTTTCCAATAGCAAAAGACACAAATGGACTGCATCACATTTTCTGCTCTCCTGCGCATAGCATGCTTGGAAGTGACTCCCTCCAGCTTTCTGAGGGGCTCAGGCCAGGTCTGCAAGAAGGGCAGTTCCCCTACGGGGCCTCTGTTCAGGCGTGATGTAGATGCACGTGTCTGGGGCAGAGAAAGAGAACAGCCAATTGTGTTTATCATTGTCCAAAACCCTTGGGAAAACCACCAGCAAACAAATACCCACGAACACCCCGGGGCATTCTGGAGCTCTGGCTGGAGCAGGAGCTTTGTCTCATAGAGCCACATACAGACCGCTTTGAAAACGGGGGGAAACTTCAATACAGCCAAGACGGAAGAATAGGAAACTCTATTCCTAACTTTGTCGCCATAATAGGCTCACAACTATAGGTTCAGGGCCCAGAGCACCTTTCCATAAAGAAAGGGCTTTAACAACATCAGTTGCTGGGGGCGTCTTCTCCCTTGCCAGTTAAAACCATTCTTCCAAAGAAGCAAGCGCATGTGCATAGCGCAAAGCTCTCAAATAGGAGGAGGAAACGAGGAAGGTGATTTAAAATGCTTATCCCCAGCTCAGGGGCCGCTTGCTCCCTGAAGCAAACTCTCATTCATCTACTGGAATCTGTGAAAGCACGGTCTGGGTTACTAAAACATTCTAGTCATTTCTAAAGCTAAGAACTTTCCCACAGGCAGCCGTGTTTCACTATCATCAACACAGTTTTCCACTAAGGAATCAGAAGGCACTTAAGAAGATGATTTATTCTCTACCATGATCTCTTTGTTTTTGTCCTGGTGTAGCATCTGTACTGTTTTATAAACTGCTTCCAAGTCTTTGAGAAACCAGGGAAGGAAATCATAGGATGGCATAGGAAAATGAAGCATTTCACTCATTTTCTCATTTCTCTAACTACTTTGTATCAAGTCTCTGCTATGTGTCAAACACCACTCTAGGTACTGGGGTGACAGAGACAAAGTCTCTGCCCGTAAGCAGCTTAAATTCTAGTGAGGAATACATAAAATGAATTCGTGACAGATCGTGGTAAGTGATGAGGAGAAAAAGAAGGCAAGATACCAGTACCAATTGCCATCAAGCTGACTCCAACTCATGGTGACCCCATGTGTTACTCCGGCAGAACTGTGCTGGCTTGTTTTTTGGAAGTAGACAACGAGGCCTTTCTTCTGAGGCACCTCTGGGTAGACTCAAACCTCTAACCTATAGGTTAGCAGCCAAGTGTGTTAGCTGTTTGCACCACCCAGGGACTCCAAAGCCGGTTGCCGTCAAGTCGATTCTGACTCATAGCCACTCTATAACTCAGGGTAGAACTGTTCTATAGGGTTTCCAAGGAGCAGCTGATGGATTTGAACTGCCGACCTTTTGGTTAGCAACTGTCTTAGTTATCTAGTGCTGCTATAACAGAAATACCACAAGTGGATGGTTTTAACAACGAGAAATTTATTTCTTCAGAGTAAAGTTGGCTAAAAGTCCAAATTCAGGGCGTCATCTCCAGGGGAAGTCTTTCTCTCTCTGTCGGCCTTCTCATCAATGTTCCCCCGTACTAGGAGCTTCTCTGCACAGGGACCCCAGGTCCAAAGGACACGCTCTGCTCCTGGCACTGCTTTCTTGGTGGTAGAGGTCCCCAACTCTCTGCTTGCTTCCCTTTCCTTTTATCTCTTGAGAGATAAAAGGTGGTGCAGGCCACACCCCAGGGAAACTCCCTTTACGTTGGATCAGGGATGTGACCCGGGTAAGGGTGGTGTTACAATCCCACCCTAATCCTCTTTAACATAAAATTACAATCACAAAATGGAGGCCAACCACACTTCTGGGAATCATGGCCCAGCCAAATTGATACACACATTTTTTGGGGGACATAATTCAATCCATGACATTCCACCCTTTGGCCCCTAAAAAATCACATCCTTGCAACATGGAAAACATATTCACCTCATCATATCATAGCAAAAGTCTTAACTCCAAGTCCAAATCCAAAAATTCCTCTTCATCTGTGAAATCTAGAATACAAGTTACCTGCTTCCAAAGGTACAATGGCAAAACAGGCGTAAGCTAGACCTTTCCATTACAAATGGGAGAAACTATAGGAAAAGAAGGGATAACGGGCACCAAGCAAGTCAGCAGAACACATTACATTAGCCCTCAAGGCTTTGAAAATAATCCTCTGTTCTCTGAGACAATTTACACAATGGCCCTGCCCTCCAGACTCTAGGTATTGGCCACAGTCTCTGGATTTTGAGTAGAGTCCCCTCGGCCCTGGGCTTCAGCTCCACCTTCCAGGCCCACTGGGACAGCAACCATTCTTCCAGTCCATCTGAGTGGCTACTCCACCCTTAGAAGCATCAGAGGCCATTGCTCCACCTTTTAAAACCCCTGAGGTCATGGTCATACGTTTTGAGACTGAGGCAGCTTGGCTTCTTGTGTCCCTTGTCTCTTCAGCTTCTGCTTCTCTTTCCTGTGGCCTCTTGGCCCTCGGGCCTCATGCCCGCATCTGCCCTGCTGGGGCAAGTGTTCCAAAGCTCTCTAGCTCCACTGGTAAGTGCCCGGAGGCACCCCACTCCTCCAGGAAGCCTCCTGCCCACAGGCACTCAGCGTCCTTGCTCCGTGGGTTGGCAAGCCTAGTTTATCCAAGCTCTTAACCACTACGCCACCAGGGCTCAGAGGATATAAAATGCCAAGGCAGGAAGGAGGTTGCTATTTTAGAAAAGATGGTCAGGGATGGTCTTCTAATGAAGTGACATTTGAGTAAAGACCTGAATGAAGAGAGGGAGCAAGCCTTGCCAATA